CAGTAGCTGTTTTGGCAAATGTTGATCAAAATAGAGCAGTAAATGTACTCCAACTGCCACGGCCAGGAAGCTTTCTGCGATGTCATTTCCTGTGTTAACAAAATACACAAAAATAATAAATCACACAACGAGTATTAATGAATCAAATGATTCGAGATTTATTTAGAACCGTTCTGGGTGTGAATTTTGAGTAGGAATGAATAATTCGATACAAATTAAAATTCTCTTATTATTCTCATTCACAAAATTCTGTCATTTATCTCTTTTGTCAAAAACTATATTAACACGCAATTCTTGAACACATTTACGTGTATAACGTCTTCTATGATGAGGTTGTTCATTAGGTTTTTCACTGAATGTCAGTCTTTTGATTTCCAAATAGAATAATTTCCTTTATTTATGTTCCTGAAGTCCGCAAACATTAATAAAAGACACTGACTTAAAGTCAACTTGTGGTAGTTTTAAGGTATGCTGAACTGTGCATTGCATTGCATTGCATTTTGAGATACTACGAACAATGGAAACATTTTGGCAAATGTACAGTAGTATGTCGTACAGGTACTTCATGTATAAAGAAAATTTGCAGTATACTCTACCATTGTTGTTTTATTTCTCAATTAATATTAATTTTGATATTGTTTTTGGGGGCATAAAATCAAAAATACCATGGAGATAAAACATAAATCATAATAAAGAATTTATTACTTAACCTTATCTTATAATATTTTATTTTATCTCAGGAAAATATTTTAACAAAACTACTTTTTTGTGAAAAAAACAACAACAACTAGATTAAAGTCATACAACTTTGAAATTTTGTCATTATCTGTATCTGAACCCAACTGATTTTCATTAACCATTCCTGTCAATCAGTGTTTCAATGTGTTTCCCCCCCCATCCCTCAACTTTCTTAGGCACCTGAGAACTTTCTTGTCTTTGGGTTATGTGAAGGTTCATAAGTGTCTGAAGGCACAGCATGCTAGATTTGGCAGCCTCTCCCAGAATCATCAGTCCTAACCCACAGTGGGCCCTGAGAAAAGAGAAGGTGAAAAAGCCAGATGTTACTGTGGGATTTAAAGGGGTCATATGATGCTTTTTTAAAGATCATTATTTTGTGTATTCACTGTGATGTGACACTGTGTCTCTCCCTCTCTCTCTCTCTCTCTCTCTCTCGCTCTCTCTCGCTTGCTTGCTCTCTCTCGCTCTCTCTCTCGATCTCTCCCGCTCTCTCTCTCTCACTCTCTCTCTCTCTCTCACACACATACACACACACACACACACACACACACACGACGCGCAAAACTGCGCATT